TCTTAATAGATTGTGAAGGAGAGCTACATTCTGACCAACACCATTCAGTGGTTTAAAACCTTTCTGCTTTGAATATTTATCTGATACCTTTCGACAATCATCATTATGTCTTCGACATCTCGTACCCTGTGTGAGGGGACATGACTGTAGAATATGAATTAAGGTTTCATCTGCAAGACCACAGCGGCGACAAGCTTTATTAGTGTTTTGACCTCGAGTAGTAGATACTCTAGTAGGTATTGTATTTGTACGCATTTGTATTGCTTTGATGTACGTACGACCTTTTATTATACGTGTGCACCCAGATAACCATTGATTGGTTATTGGACTTTCACGAAACACTGTACTAACACTGCCGTGCACTGTTTCCGCTAGTCGTATTCGACTTTCATTGATCAAGAGAACATTGCTTTGATTGATGTCAGCGGCTGATGGGCGGTCGCTAAGCTTCATAGCATTGCACCAACGAGAATGCATAGTGGAACCCTGAGTTTCAACAAGAAAGCGTAGACATTCGTCACCGGCTCGAAAAAACGAACTATAAAGACGTATCTTAGCAATTCCTATTATGTCATATAGTTTCCTAATACCCAAGCCTCCTTCTTTAACTGGAAGATAAAAGAAGTCACTACATACTGATGGAGGCAGTTTAAGTGTCTCTTTCAGCCAACGTCTAATGAGCCGATCTTGTTGCCTCATTAGCTTCGGATAACATTCCGTATGCGTAAATGCAAAGATGAATCGAGAAATGAGATATGTACGAAGTATAACTACTTTTTGTTGTGGTTTCAACGGGGCTTTGGCAAGAGACGTCAATGGTGATTTTAGTTCAGACACTGATACTCTTGGATCGACTGCTCCGAGTGGTGTAAATTGAACTCCTAGGTAACGACAAAACTTATCGACTCCAAGCAATTGGATAGGTTTATTTTTAACCGTGAACTTTGGTGGATTTGTTACGGATGAGTCCACGATTTGAGACTTTTTGACCTTACCCGCTTTCCAAAGACATATCGATATACACTTGCCTGTGTTAAGCTCAAGACCCCGAGCAGTTAGAAACTTTTCCGTTTCCGAAAGAAGTTGCTGCATGCCTAGTTCAGTCCCGGACACTAGTGCAATGTCGTCAGCGAAAGCGCGAGCATTGACTTTGCCCACACCTTCGAGTTCATATCCAAAGCGATCTCCTATTATCTCGAAGAGTTCATCGATGACAAGATTAAACAGGATTGATGGCATAGGATCATCTTGTTTTACTCCTCTTCTTAATGCTATTAAGCGTGAACTTCTATCCGCATACGATAGTGCTGTATACGAGTTCTCATATTGGTTATCAATTAGATCGACGAATTCGGATGGACATCCGTGTTTCAGTAACGCACGTTTAATTCATTCGTGAGGTACTGAATCAAAAGCCTTGCTCACATCTAGTAGACACACAAAAAGATTATTCTTGTTGGTACGTGCATGTCTTAATAGATTGTGAAGGAGAGCTACATTCTGACCAACACCATTCAATGGTTTAAAACCTTTTTGCTTTGAATTGGTGCGAAATACATTCTGCATGCGACGCGCTAATATCTTATTATATAATCGAAGTAGTGGCGATGCTATGGTGATCGGACGCCAGTTTTTGATGTTATCTAGATTGTCCTTTCCCTTCGGCAGAAGAACAGTCCGGTTGATTTTAAGCGAATCGGGTATTCGCCTGTAACCAAGCCAGATGTTATATGCACACCATAGCTCTTTCTTCGCTATACGTTTAATATCTGTTAGTGACAGTCGATCTGGACCTAGGGCTGTATCATTCTTTGTGTGTTCTATTGCCAAGGCAATCTCCTCGCGGGTTGTTGGTGCAAGAAGAACGTCGAATCCTACCGAGGCTTGTGGTTTAAATAAAACAGCATCCTTAGTATCAATTGTCCAGATGTTTCGATAATGTTCGTAAGCTACGGACATACGTGGTTTGAGTGCAGAATTATCAACACCGCCGAAGATTTCTGACGCTAACTTCGATTTGTTCTTTTTAAATAAACGTTGATGATGCGCATATATCTGAGCTTTTGGAATTGATGTTGCGCTGCGTAGTTTGCTCTCAATTGTTTGTCTATCGTCCTTGTGTGATTGAGACGATTGAACACTATTCGTCGCTTGATGTATTCCAATCAGTGACTCATTGACTGGATCAGAATTTGGCACGTCATTGACATAATGCGTCATAGCGTCCCACATTGTTTGACATAATCGAATTCTTCCCTTCACGATATTGGTTTTTATATACTGACGAATATCGGGATAAGATTCATTACTAGTTCCTATTTGAGTACCTTGAGATCTGTCATTAGAGCTGTGATTACCGGAATCATTATTTACATTTATACTATCATTCGCGATAGTAAGTGAATTTACAATTGTTGATTCTTCGGAATCATTAAACTCTTCTACGGTTTTTGTTGCTTTACTTTCACGTACCTGTTGTAGCAGCGTCTTGTATTCTGTCGTTTTGTCGACGTTTCTTTGTGGCTTCTCGTGATCTTGATGGCAATTTCAACGCAAGAGCTGAATTCGAATTTATCGTCTCTATGAAGGTGGGATTAGCTTCAAGCCCTGCTAATATCAACATATCATCGCGAGTCCACAATCGCGTTTTCATCGGAACTTCAATAGTGGCATTATACTCGTTAAGTTGCCTATGTGTCATATGCTGTGAAAGGCCCACCTTTTTATTAAATCCGCCAGACGCACAGAATTCACAGTAGTATTTCTTATCTGTCTCCTTCATTTCCACATTATTTTCTTTCCTGGTATTATTACTGATACCATGATCTCCATTATCTTGTTCATCATCACTTTGTTTTCCATCATTAACAGGTGTATCAATATTTTGTACGTCAGCGATCTTTTGTGTTTTCGGAATGACAGATGGTGAATGAGTGTTTCCGTCATTTCCTAATTGTTGTGTCATTTCGTCTGACGATTGATCACCTATTGTTTGAATTAGTTTCTCAGCCTCAGATTCCTCGTTAACAGCTGAGTCCTTTTTAGTTGTTGTATCTTGTAGCTATTCGATGCTTGTTGTTGATTAATTGATGACATTTGTTGGTGATGGAGGATCTGTGGTAAGAAATGATGGTGTGGCAGAAGTAGAGTGGCGACAGTTAGATCTACTATAATGTGCTATTGCTGAACGCCAACTAGGCCAAGGTTTGTGGCACACACCACATATATGTGCAAAAAAAATGATATCATGGCTTTTAAGATGTTCTTCAATGTTTGTCATATTCGTTCCAAGCAGGTGTGAACAATCTGAACATGTACTATTGGGTGATAAAGGATAGTACAAGCAAAAGAATCTTTTCGAATCCTGCTGATTTGATGTTTCAGCACCATTCTTCCGAGTTTCTCGGCTCTCTTGCGTGTCATCAGCGTTGTTTACCTGAGACGTGTAAATTCTTTTCGTTTTTACAGCAAGAGAGAAATCTGACTACAATGAGAGTGCTGGTCTCAAAGTAGCGAAAGTGATGCTTTAGCTTAGCTACTAGTATCAATGTTGAAACTAAGGACAAGTCGTAGTGAGTAGCATAGAATGAATCCCCTCACTCCGACTGCATTCAATCTTTGAACCATATCGACGAAGAGTACACTCTAAATAAAATAGGTGGTCTACTGAACTACCAAAAAAGGTT